CTTGCACGCTAACTTCTCTTACAGAATGGTAATAGCCAGAATGCCACAGGCTGTTTTAGACACTTTCCAGGTCCTATTCCGATTACAAAGAGTACGGAGGGTGGGGGCAATGACAATCTCTTGAGGTCGGTAGTACCGATAGCAGCATGGACAAACCAAGGTGAGCAGAGGACAGTAACCTCCAAAACACAGGTAGCCCCCTCGACTGGGTGTACCCACGCAGCGCCCTTACCAAAGAGCTGGGCCCGGCGTTCAGGAACCACAGGCGTGCACAGGTCTGCCGGTGGGACGTCCGGGCCGAAGACAGAGCAGGGAGCCAGAGTACACAGCCCCGGTGCAGGAGACTCGAAGGTGGGTCCCGATCCCGCAGCCGCCCGCCCGGCCGTGAAACTGCAGTCACCCCCAGCAACCCGCTGGCTGTCCTGACTTCCCTGCCCGCGAGCACCTTCCCGGTACACCCTAGCCCGCGAACCGCCACTAGACGAGCAGCCGCCTCCTCCAATCGCCGCCGCGGCTCTATGGGCCTGCCGGCTGGGCGGGACTACGGGGCGGAAAACCCGCCTCCCACAAGGTCGGTTGAGAAGTCGCCCGCAGTTGAGAGAGCGCGGCTGTTCGAAGAGGGCGCCAGTGGCGGCGGGAAGCTTCCCGGAGCCTCCATTGGGAAAGTCGTCAGCCAATCACAAAAGCCTCCTAGAGGACTACGGTTGCCTAGATACGGCGAGTGTTTGCCCTCCCAGAGATTAGCGAGGACATTACCTTTTCCCCTTACACTTGTAAATTTCTTCCATTGGCTCTTTCTGCTCTCTGAAGTGCCACTGCCATCCTTGGTGATTGTTAAATTTGGCATCATCTTCAGACTTGACTGGTTAAGATTTGTGTTTCTTTACTGATAAAACCAAACATGCTCCCTGTTGCCTCTTCCCTAAAACTCGAATTTCTGCGGATGTTCTTGGATGTTAGCCTGTCATTAAATCCCATTATATCTCAAGCTTGGAGATCGCAAACACATTGGATAAATCTCATTTTTGCTTTCCACTTTTAATGTGTGTCTCTTGATTGGCTTATTGAGGGTGGCTGGACCGGGCATGTTACAGACCTGAGTTTTGTAACAATTACTGTCTCTGGCATCTTTGGTAAGAAGGGTTCTAGTGAATGCCAAGAACTTAGTGGCTTAGATTCCCACATCTTTTAAAATCTTTCCCATGTGTACCATGTGGAGTAAAATATTTGTCCAACGCTCTTCCAAATCTGGCTAAGTTTGTTCTGCCACCTGCACCCCATCCTTGTAATGCTGACATTGACTCTCAGCTGGGGTCTGGTACAGAATGAGACCTTGAGACAGAGAAACAGAACGCAGTCACAAGGCTGCACTACCAATTTCCTGGATGGCTCCTGTAGCCCCACCCCACCCCCACTCCCCGTGCTGCTTTTCAGCACGTGGGCGTGTCTATCGCCCCACCTCTCTCTCACCCATTCAGCCCTTGGGACACTCAGCACGTCACTCAGCAGAATTGGATATTGGGACACACACCACCTCATTCCCTAGAACTGGATCTCCCTACCACTGTATACAGGGTGCATACCTATCCCAAGAGAAGATGGATTTCTTTTCTGTTACAATCCTTTACTGTGTGTCTGTTTCACTCATAGACCAATAGGGACATCTTGGGGTATTTACCTGAGCATTTGTTGTCATATTTCATGACCCATGCTAGGCACTCAAAACAACTGTGTTAATTTGTTAGTGAATAAATGAAAGAATGGGCAAATAAAGATGTTGGGCCCAGAAAAGACTAATGAAAGGCCTTCGGGTAGATGGCATTTGTTGAAGGTAAGCCAAGTTATCTGCTAGAGAATGAGCCTTGGGCCTGCTTCATTACCAAACTACGTCAGTGCCCCATGCTAAGGTCTACAACGAAGCAATACTGCATGAGAACGGTAAAGGACATAGGGGAATAATTTGCTCTTTGTTGAGATAATGTACCTTTCCTTCCAGGATTTCTGCCCCTAGTGTACTCAATCTAGATGTGCCAGGAAGTTCTGCAGGCTCCACTTGCCTTTGTGAGTCTTGAGTTGAGCAGGTGTTAACTTTTCCTCTTTCTTCTCAGCTGTTGCTTTTGGATGCTGGCCAGAACCCAAGTATGTTTTCTCTAGGACTTTAAGCTTTTTCACTCTTTCTCTAAAGCTCCTCCTCCCCCGAACTGCTGCTGGTCCACCATGTAGCTGGCCTGTGAGCCAGCTAAACTCATAGAGCATGGCTTTCTCTCCTTCCCTGGACAGCCAAGATTGACAGCTTTCCTACCCTGAGGCTTTGCTTTGAACTCTAAGTCCAATTGTCCTCAAGCTTCTGTTTGAGTCCATTCTTAAATTATTTTACTAAGGACACTAAAGACCCCAGCAGGAGACCCTGCTTTCTCTGGTATCACTGCACTGTGCCCTAGGAAGCTGACCTACAAGACAACACCAACAAGCTCCCCTCCACTCCCACCCCCAATTCTGCCTTCAAATTATCTCAATCAGCGAAGAATCCCAGCAGATCAGAGATGGAAATAGAACAAAGCAGGTTGTTAATGACCTTAGCTAATCTCTTTTGCATCACGGGTCAGTTGTGACCTCAGTCCTATCCACAGTTCCTCCATGTAGACAGACACGCAGTCCTTCTCCAGGACTGTTGTCATCCTCTCCCTTTCCCTGGGCCCTAGACCACTGTGCTCTGCTTGTGGTTTCTCTATACTTTGCGTGTAACGTAAATCCCCTTTATTAATCTCTCCTCAAATTACCCAGTTCGAGTGAGCCATCTGTTTCCTGCGGAGACACTGATCCACCACACACCAGATAAACTTTCCAAGTCCCAAACACCACACATTGTCAGTTGTCATAAAGCAGTAATCATTTATTCTTTTTTAAAGAAAACTCATTTACAGATATTTATAGGCAAATGAACCACCATTTTAAAATAGAGGTTGAGGATATGAGATGAAAACCGCATGCAGACATTTCTTACATCTCTTAGGGTTGGCGAACAGTGTCTATGGCATCTGGAAAGCAGCCTCTGCTCCCCTGGCTACAACAGCATCGGTCCAGCATTGACTGCCCGTGTGTGTGCTCACTCCATCAGTGCCCCTGCTTCTGGAACTCCCACTGACCACCAAGTCTGTGTTCCTCAGCTGGAAGGAGGCAACAGACCCGCCCTGTCTCTGCTGCAGGTTGCCTACAAGTTCCTTCCTATCACTATGCTGATCCCTTTTACGAAGACAAATGGTTAAGACCTAAGCTATATGGAGGAAAATCAATGAAATATACATTATTTTCTAGCTGTGAAAAGGAAACAAATCTACCTATAAAGTCAGTGGTGACAGAAATAAAATGGAGAGCTGTTACGTAAAACTGCCAGACTTCAATGTACTTGATTTCCGATGATTTCTGCACAAAAGAACTATCCCATACTATACTTAAAACTTACCAAATACATCATAATCACAAAGGTTAAGTTGTCTCCACTTAGCCAAAATGAAGTGGTGTTGAGATAACCATCCAGAAAGCTCAGGATCTCTCTCTCTCTCTCTCTCTCTCTCTCTCTCTCTCTCTCTCTCTCTCTCTCTCTCTCTCTCTCTCTCTCGTAATGACCGTATCTTTATATGCACAAGCAAGGACTGACTGAAGCATTTCTGCTATTACTAAAAACAACCAGATCTACTGTACCAACATTACCTGCTTTACGCTGAAACACTGGGGGTCAGACTATGTGAGTGTAATTTGGCTAAACCCTTTATCTGTAGAGTATAGACACAGGATAGAGGGAAAGTCCTAAATGCTTACCCCCAACTACACAGTCTGATTATCAGTGTTAACTTCTAACAAAGAAAAAAAACCTATCATGTTAGGATAGCAACGGACCTCTCAGTGCACTTCAAGCTCCCTCATCTTATAGACAAAAAAACTAGAATCCAGACAGGTTTAGCGACCTGCCAAGACTCACAGTGGTGAATAATCTGAGCTAGGGCTTCTCTGAGAATTCTTAATCTCAGCACTGGTTGAGCCATTGTCAGTTGTGTGGCAGACCTTTCCAAGCCCTTCTGCATTTTGTCTGATCACACATAGAGAGGGCGACAGGACACATACCAAGGTGACACCAGGATACAATGGCAGCCAATCAAAAGAAAATTTTGTATACTTTAAATCACCTCTGTACTCTCAAAAATGGCACCAGTATGGGCTGAGCATGAAGAACACTGGCCTTTTTTGCTGTCTTTTATATCCATATACTCCAAATCAAAAATAACCAAGAGATTTGGCTTTCTGAGTGCGTCTGTCCCATGCTGCATACGAACAGTGCAGATAGGAAAGACAGAGGAACACCAGCCAGTGAATTTTGGGCCCCAACCTTTTAATCAGCAAATGAGACAGATTTAGGAAACCAACAGCAGCTTTTGCTTTCATTTCACAAGCGCAGACACAGTCTGAATTTGATGTCAGTGTCATATTTAGCATGGCAGCAAAAAGTGCTACTAAACAAAATGTAATAAAGTTAACCCTATTAGTCAAAATGCTTCTTCTTGTTGTTTTAGCAAGGAAGAACTTTTTTGGCAACTGGTTCTGTAGCTTTAGAATATGAAGACACTTGTAACTAATCTCCCCCATAGGAAAAGCCCCCGGATTATCAAGGTAAAGGCACATACCACTGCCTGGGCAGTTCAAGTTGTCTTTAGCATATGAAATTGTAGTTGTGCTTTTAACTTTTCATCAATGCAATGTGACCTTTAAAAAGTGACCTCTGTGCATATGCCTTTTCAAATGGATCAAAATTCTTCTCTGATTTCCATATTCAGGAGATATTTTATTACTTCTCTGTTTTATAAAAGACTTGGTCCATGGTGGTCTAAGAAAGACATGTTTCACAGTTTGTGTTCTACTTTATGTGGAGAAAAGGATTGAAAGGTCACTGTTCCTGACCCCAAAAGGATATGCTTCTGATAGTGCTGACATGGTGACCGGAGTTGTCATTTCTTGGAGTGCAAAAGTCCTGTGTTATTATATTTTTTTACTGGTTGTTTAAGGCTTACTTCACTTCCAGAAGAGATGATTGGCAAACTGTTATCCATATGGTATTTGATAAGGTGACCAACATTATCAAACACACGGTCCTTGGTCCTCACCTGGAAACAGAAGCACACACATATTTAGGTTGAATAATAGCAGTTCTGAAAGACGAAAGCGGTTGCACGGGAGTGCCCCTAAAGAAGTTATTTTTCTGAGTGGAAGACAGGGGCTTTTCAATTCTGTTTTCCTGAATATACCAGTCTACCTTGCCCATTTGCCTTTGCAGTTGTATTCCTACAAGTTCAGACAATGGCAAGCACTTGTCATTCAACCCAGTTCTACAGTCAGCCTCTCTACAGTGCTGTTCTTGATGAATTCTGTCATGCTGACACTTGTGTAAATATCTAGCTGTTGTGTGTTCAGGCACAGTCCCAGGCTTACAATTACCTTCCATAGAGTGGAGTACTTCCATGTTACCCCCTCTCTTCCCAAAGCAGACCCCTCAGAGAAGTCCTACCTCTCCTTAGAACCTCAACACAAATCCTGTCTCCTCCAGGAAAGCCTCCTGAGGGGCATTCAGGTTGCCTTCCTGCAAGCTTCATTAATAATAGCTGATCCATAAATAGCTGTTTCAGGTATTTACTGCCTGCTTGCTGACAGAAGTGGATTTGCAGCATTTCTTCCTGGCATTATCATGCATCTGCCCCACATGCTTTACTGTCTCCACGGGCTCCTGTGGAGAAGACAGTGCAGCCTGCCAGGAGAGCAAAGGCCTACAACTAGCAATACACCTACCTAATAATTCTGCCACCTTCCTGCAGGGGAGTCAGAGCTCTGTCTGCATACTGGATTGGCCATATTGGACTAACTGGCAGAATATGAATATGGACTATAAATTAGATGATAGGACCTATAGTTGAATTTCTTGGTTTTGATTATTATGCTAGAGCTATGGAAGAAAGTGTCCTTAGTTTAGTAAGCACACAAGACTGGGAACAGGAGACGTGCTTTAGTGTTTTCCCTAAGGCCTTTGAACTCTAATTGGTCAGTGTGACTGACCAATCCTGCTGTGCTATTAGTTCCAGCTGTCTCCTCTCCCTCCATGTTTCTCCAGTCAACATTCTGGTCCAGGACTTCCCAATTCCCACCCTGAGGCACACAGTTATTGGCTCTGCCTGCCCTACACCCTCCACTGTGCCCGCTGATCAATCTTGCAGATAGCTGTCAGGATAACCTTTCGAGTATGAAGACCAAAGCCAGCCAGTTTGGACAAATGCACCAGATGTCATTATACCAGAAGTTTTAAAGTATTCTAAGTTGAAACTGAAGAGAATGCACAGAAAACTCTATTTAGTAGCTTCTTTGGAAAAAATAAGAAGTTGGTCAGTTTTCTTCACCCTTAGCAAAGCTGCAATTCTTAGTATCACACACCATCACCCACGTTCTCTCCTTTACATCATTTAACTCTGCTTTGCTGTAACTTGGCTGCGGTCTTATTCACTTGCAGGAGTCCACTATGGCTACAGGTTTGTCCTGCTGAACTGAACTGAGAAGGACAGAAAGGGCTGCCTTCCACAGGGTGCTCCAAGGCGGCGTCCAGTGCTAACCGTACCACTAGTATTGGCCGTATAGTTCAAGAAGATGTTGACACTTAGCCTTGACCTCTCGAACTCTGCCTGTGGATGCACAGTGTGGGCGCAGTGAGAGCTCAGCCGTACCTTGCCCTCAGGATCCACCAGGAGGAGATGCCTGGCCTGGCCGCCTTGCAGTCCACTCAATACAAACTGGCCTGGAGATGTTACACTCTCTCGAACCAGAAAGTCCCCATCCTTCACCAAAAGTTTCTCCGCTGCCCCCCTGCTCAGCTTGCCATGGAAGCACTCCTCATTCCACAGTTGTTGCCTAATGTGTGGCAAAGCGTGTGAGCTCCCAGGCTTGGCTGTGGCTCCTGGCTGCACAGTTTCTGGTGCCTCTGGAGTTAAAACACAAAGGAGATTTCACAGAGTTATCACCTCATCAGTCTGCCCATTCTTTCCTTCTGTGTTCAAGGCGCCATTTAAACAAGTCTGGGGACCTAATGTCCTGGCAGGCTCTAACCCTGAGAGGTGAATTTGAACATCATCTTCTGTCACTAGGAAAGGTTACTGGGCAACTTATTATAACAGGCACTTGTTGATGACTTCAGATAATTCATGCTATTTTATTTTCAAAATTAAACAGATCCCCAAATTAAATTTCAAGAAAGGCTAAACTACTTATTTAAAGCCACACTGCTAATGTCGCAGAGCTGAGATTTGAAACAAGCACCATCTGACTCCCAGGCTTGGACTTTTTAATCAACAAACTCCAAGGCCCTGGCAATGGATGTAAAAAAAATTCCCATTTTCCAAATTGTCTAGTTGCCCACAAAGGTCCATAGGAGGTAGCAATGCTGCCAGGAGATGTGTGGCATCTCCTAGACATACTACACTGTAACCCGGCACTTAGGAGGCTGAAGCAGGAGGATTGCTAAGAGTGTTAAGTCTAGCCTGGGCTACATAACAAATTTGAGGAAATCCTATACAACTCAATGAGATGTTTCCTCAAAGCAGAAGAACAAACAAAAGGAAGAAAGAAGGAAAGAAGGAAAGAAGGAAGGAAGGAAGGAAGGAAGGAA